ACATCTCAACAGTGAGCATGCGCTGGACGATAGAAGTACAGCTCAATGTAGAGTACAAATGCAGGTTGTACAGCAGTTAGAGCTACAGGTAAAACCAAATTTATTTTTAATATTACCTCAGTATTCCTCAAATTCCAGATTTCTGTAGTGTTCTGTAATGAGTTCCTGTGTACTCATTATTGAATGGAAGGTCCAAAACCTGTTGTTGTCCTTATTTTATTTTATTTTTATTTTATTTTATTTTTTTGCCTCTTCGGGCAAGTTCAGCTTCACTTCACTCCTTGGAACTGCTGCTCAGACGTTCCCACGTTCTGGGCCACCTATGTGTATGCGGTCAACTCTCAGTTCCCACTTTTCGCTCTCTGCCTCTCTCTTACTTTCCCTCCTTTCTCTCTTCTCCTTTTAAGTTTCTGGTTATCTGTTGTCAGTGTTAGTCCCAGAAGTTCCTAATATGATTAAACTGGAGCTAGAAAGACAAGCTGGGGAGCGAGAGATGGAGAGAGAATGGATGCGAATGGAGAGAGAAAGAGTGAACGAGACCAAGACTGGGTGGGAAAGTTCACACGAAAGCTGTGTTTTCCCAAGTTACAATAGGATTTATCTGTAGGTTCATTCCTCATTTTGCATGGTCCTTTTTACTCTCCATCACTGAGGATAATTGAGAGTTCACTGGGCATGTTTTAAACACACAATACACTCAGAGATATATAATATATGTAATAGGTATATATATGTTATACATAAAATCTAGTATTTGGAAATCTATTGGGCTGTATTGAATGTAATTTATGACTAGGGAAAAGAAACTCGTGCATATTTTCCCGAGGATCCCAGTTGTGAGAGACGAGGATGTTTTTAAGATGGTTTCTACTTCCGGGTGTAACTTGATGAACCACCATATTTTTAACAGTAATTCCGTTCTTGGTATAATTAATAGAAAATTAGTTCCTAAAAGTAAAAATTAGGTCAGAAATGGAGATTATTCAAATGTACAAATGCAGAAGCCTGACCCTGCAAACCCCATTTATGCAGCCGAGTTCCAAAATGCTTTTGAGTGCTTGATGACTCACTGTGGCTTCTTCTCTGGCTGGTTTAGTGTAGGCAAGAGGTTAGCCGACTAGGGGAAATTAAAACAATGTTGTACATTATATTGTTACCAGCCATCGCAAAGCCTATTTTGTATGCAAGACAGCAATGCTGAGATATATGGAGAGCCCTAGGCTAAGTACAGAAGATAATTACATTTGGAATTTTACTGAGTTAAGTCATTTACAGCTTCAAATAGTTGCAGAGAAAAATCAGCCAAAACACACTTAAACTTTTTGTTGTGACTTTTCAGGATAGAAAGGGTTTTTTTAAATGAGTTATTATCTTATATGACAAGTTACACTTTTTAGTAGGATTTTTCTCAAAAGTTATTTTCTTCAGCCAGTTAATATTTTTCCATTCAAACTATGGATGTAAACTTATTAGGACAGTAAGATCTTTATACAGGAAAGGACACATCATACAATCCCTGAAATTTTATATAAGTCTTTGGAAACATCTTTAAATTTAGCATGGCTACTGAGAAGGAAAAACGTAGTAGATTTAATCCACCCCCAGTGTTCATTTATGATTAAAGCACAGTAATGCCTTGAAAATCTAGATTCAACAGAATAAACTATATGACGGTTATTACCGGAATTTGTACATATTGATGGTAGTATTTATAAAGTGATGCAAGTTCCTACATTTATTTATTTCATAAAATTAAATTCTTAATCATGGGCTAAAATAAATTGTTTACCAGAGTTGTCATGATTTGTCATGACAGAAAGGCATTCCCGACTGCAAATTTGAGTGTTGGGCCATTGTTAATTACTCAGGAACTGAGTATCTTTTTTTTTTGGAGACAGTGTCTCACTCTGTCACCCAGGCTAGAGTGCAGTGGCATCTTCGTAGCTCACTGCTACGTCAGATGCCTGGACTCGAGTGATCCTCCCGCCTCAGCCTCTCGAGTAGCTGGGACCACAGGTGAACACCACCACACCCAGCTAATTTTTCTATTTTTTGTAGAGATGGGGTCTCACTCCTGCTCAGCCTGGTCTTGAACTCCTGATCTCAAGAGATCCTCCTGCCTTGGCCTCCCAGCATGCTAGGATTGCAGGCCTGAGGCACCATGCCTGGCCTCTATTATTTAAATTATTCCTCACTCTCCACAAAGGTCATGAGAAAGAGAATTAGCCCACCAGTAAGTCAGGAGGCTATCTCCTGGCAGCTTTAATGTTGTTTTTTGGTGGGTGTGGCCTAGAAGTAATGTGAACTGGTAGAAGGAGTCTTTGATTACTTGTAGATTTCATTTATTCATAGATTTCCTTTCATCTTTCAACCCTAAATCAAACAGAAGGCAGGTTTTTTTGACTTGTGGTAGAAATCAAAAATGAACTGGCCAGAAGTTACCATGCAGTAGTTACCTATGATGTTCCTAATAATATTAATATTTTTGCTGGGGAGTTTGCTTTCATGGAAGAAGGGACAGGCTAATTCTGACGTGTTTGGTTTCTTCAAAGCCTGAGAGAATTCTCAGAGTGTTGACACAGTCCTTGTCCAGAGCAACCTACAGACCTCGGGCCAAATCTTACAAGCTAAGGAAGATTTTTACATTTTAAGTGGTAGGTAGGAAAAAAAAAATCAAAAGGAGAGTAGTATTTCATGACTGGTGAATATTCTATGCAGTTCAACTTTTAGTGCCCTGTTAAGGTCATATTAGAACACAGCCATGCCTTGTCCATCCTTTTATTTACTTATTATGTATGGCTGCTTTTGCACTACAATAGTGGGGTCAAGTAATTACAGTAGAATCTATATGGGCTGCAAAGCTGAAAATATTTTTTTTTCATTTCTTTTTTTCTTTTTGTTTATTTATTTTTTTTTTAGTTCTCCTTCGCATAAGATGAAAATATTTATTATCTGGCTCTTACAGAAGTCTGCCAAGCAACCCCTGTTCAAGAGGAACAGAAAAAATAATTTGCATTGCATTGTTAGCAACTTGTCCCCTTAGTTTCCTGGCTACCTACAGTTCTGCTCACCCCTTTTTGCTTCTTCATTCTTAGACATGGTGTATAAAACCAGTTTAGTCATCAAATTGGTCAGGTTTCCCTATTAGCAGCTTCATGTGACAAGTGCTTGCCAATCTTGGGGTCATGGAAGACTGGCTAAGGGATACTCATTCATCCATCCATCCATTCATCCATCCATCCATCCATCCATCTACTTAGTCCTTTAGTAAACATTCCTAGGAACCTATTCCATAGCAGGAACTTCTCTGGAGCCACTACAAAATACAACAGCGATTGAAACACATAGGGCTATCTTCCTCATTCTTACATCCTAGAAAGAAAAACAGACTACAAAATAATTTTCCGATGATGCTGTCTGCTAGATGACACTAGTAGATTCTTGTAAAAACACCAGAAATTTACTCTAAAGAGGGTTTTAATGCTTGAACGTGTCCAAACCAAAGCAGATTGTATATCCATTAGCTACTATTCAAGCAGATGAAATCGACAAGAAAATGTTAACAGTTTTTAGTATTTAAAGAACCGTTGCCCTGAGATAGAGTTAAGAGAAGCCTTCACCAAGAGTTAGATTCGGAGTCTTTGGGTTGCAGACCCAGCACATTTGGGGGTGTTTGGGACACAATACGATTATGCTGAAAGCTAGATTGCTTTTAGGCTCCCCATTTCTCTGAAGTTCAGCATTTCTGTTTACTGTCACATTTGTCATTTCATGCACCTGTTTAGAAACATACTGTTTTCATGTACTTACCTACCAGTCATTGTGCCCAAAGAACCTGAGTTATTGGGGCAGTCAGGTCCCTACAGCAGCAAGAATACTCTAAAGAGACATGTTTGTGCTCAAACAGCCCCACCTGTCTGCGGTTCCTGTTGGCATCATCCCCCATTCTCTCAACCACAGGCTGGTGTATCACCTACTCTAGAGAGGATGCCCTGTGCACTCAACGGGACTTCTTTTTCCCTTAAAGAAGGCATTTCCCAGTCCAGGAAATACCTGAAACTCCAAGTATCTCTCAAAGTATATTATAAAATTACCATTGATCAACTTGAATTTGAAAAACATTCGCACCACTTAGCATCACAGGAAAGAGCAATTAAGGTTTAAACAATTCCCAAAGGGTGGCTGCTGTTTTAGAGTAAGAGGAGAAATCCCGCCCCGCCCCCCCCAAACTCACCGGGCCTTGCGCGCGCGCTTTCCTCTCTCTTTGCAGAGTGGTACTTAAGCCTCTGGTGTTTACACCTGGTAGAGAGAGATCACACATGTGCCCCCATTGTAAAAACAAACCCAATAAGCTCACAGACAATCTTGGAGTACATATCGATGGCAGTTCATTGTGTCTAACCTAGAAGGTTGTCATAAAAAGATTCCACAGGAGAATTCGGAGGGCAGAGTCAGTCAGCTCCTGAAGCAACCAAAGGTGGTGAAGGTCACTTGAAAGCTGGCTGTCCTGTCTACCTGTACAGCCCCCTTGAAAATGAACCCCAGAAATGTTTTTTCTGACCCAAAATGGAAGGCCCTCGTGTCTCTGCTCCATCAGTCCAACCTTCCTAAAGAATGAGATGCAAATTAAAAAAAAAAAAACAAAAAAAAACACGAAAAAAACCCTGCTAGCCTTAAGGGATAGTGGCTAGAACTGTTTCCCTTCATAGAGCTGTCTATACAATACTACACTTTAATCAAAGTCAGAGCCTTTAAGACTCTAATGGTGAGATTTCAGGCGGGATAGAAATCAAGGTGATGGGTTCTGGAGTCTGACGTAGACTTTCTCATCAGCACCGTGTCAAAGCACTGTCCTGTCCCTGTGTATTTAAAATACGACTTGATTTACAAAACCAGCATTTTAATAGATTTATCAATTCCAAAAGGCAAGATACATCTATATTTTTATAATTTTTGTTGGAAGGTATAAAAATACATGGTGGATGTTTTCTTAGCAGTGAATTACTTGTGTATAGCTGGTTAACAGAGAAGGTTGATTCGTTCCATTCTCTTGTTGGAGCTTTATACTGGTCTCATTGAGAGGAAAGA